GTACTTTGTCAAAGGCTTTCTTAATATCGAAGTATAGTATAATAACTAGTTTCTTCTGTTCACGTGCGTGAGCAACCTCGTTGAAGAAGTCTGTCAGACATGTACTGCAGGACTTTGTTCTAATGAAGCCATGTCGTGACGGGTCTATTAGATCTTCCTTGAGTAGGTGATCAGATAGTTGATTTTGTATCACTTTTTCCATTGTGCGTGATATGACTGGAGTGATATTTATAGGTCTGTAGTTTTCAACCAGGTTTCTCGGTCCGGATTTGTGTTTGGGAAGAACATACGTTACCTTCCAGGTTTCCGGATATGTACCTGTCTCTAAAGATAATGTGTATATTTTGAGTAGTAGCGTCTGTATGTCCGGCCCTGACATTTTATAAACGACTGAAGGGATGTCATCGTCACCAGAACTCGCATTTGGCTTAAGGGTTTTAATGGCGGTATGTATACTCCTAATGTCGAAGTTTATGGTACTAAGATAGTTTTTGCCGGTGCACTTTATGTCGATATCTGGAGCATCAGATGTATTCCCATTGTGAGAAAACCATTCACTTAATAGTTCACATATGACGGTTTGGTCATTATACGTTACTCCATCGTGCAGTAAGGAGTGAATGTTGTGGTCTGTGTTCTTTCTTATGCGTTTCGTGAGGAGACGACATAGGGCCTGGGCTTTAGATGCAGCAGTGAGCGCAGTACGTTCCTCTACCTGTTTATGCTTGTTGTGTTGACTTTGTACTCCGTCAAGTACAGAGTATATCTGGTGCAGGGCACTGAAGTCTTTTGATATATAGTACATCCTTTTCAGTTTACGCAGTTTAGACCTAGTCTTTTGGTTCAAATAGGGAGTAATTGTTTTAAAACCAATTTATGATTTGGTTGTTAATATCTTATCTTTTTGTTCCCTCCAGCACTAATAATCTCCGAGGTCATATCAAGAGGGTCCATTAACCGCGACCTAATAAACCTAAAGTAGGGTCCCGTTTTTCTCATCGAGTAGTCAATCATTGTAACGCCTTACCCGAACAAGTGGTATCAGCCCCATCAGTGAATATTTTCAAGGAGAAGCTAGAACTTCAGTGGAAGCCAATCTGTCAGGATTAACCTTCTATCCTTATTACTGAAGACTGAAAACTAAAAGAAAAAACTTATCTGTCATTTGATTAGGGTTGTAGCGTCTGGACTTTTATCATATAGCTAGAATCATTTTTTACCATAATAATAACTCTATTCTTCTCATAGGAATTTTCAACCTTCAGCACACACACGACTTATGTTCATATCCTTGTAATCCTACTCATGTGCTCCTTTTGGTTACTTGTATTTATATCCGTCACTCATTGTGCTATACGAAGCCTGTCTCTGTTACAATACTGATCATCTGTTCTAGGCCTTACTAACGCTTGTAGTCAGTTTGACAGACGAGTTAGCTGGCTTTCATTCTGCATTTCGCCTCATCTCGTTTCGCATTTCAATCCTTGTCTGAATATAGTATCGGATTGTAGGTTCAGTGGAAAGTCACTGAGCCCTAGCCAAATCATCCGGAAGTTGTGTTACTGAAAATCGATCAAGTCATCGACCCCCGTTAAGGTCAAGGACAACCAACGCGCATCAGTTAGTCCTACGCCATGGGCTGGCCAATGAGGATGTGGTCTTACTTTCGCTTGTATCTACTTTAACTAGTATATTTCTGTAACAACGTATTTTGTGATGTACAGTTTTCGAAGCATCTATAGTACCTCGATACGTTGATGGGGTAATCCGCGTAAGGTTCTGACTGCGAGGTGTGACTTCAAAGTTAACCAATTCGTCACACCGTTCCCGTCTTACTTTAGTAGGCCCCCAATCATTCGACATAGATAATCTACGTTGGTGATTTACAGGATGAAACCAAGTCACCCAACTTAAACATTGTTTAGCTATTATGAACCCCATCACTCAACCGAGGTTGCCCTGGGCATTACATACGGGGTAAAACGCAAGCGCTATATTCATGTCATTTATATTTCTTTGCTTAAATCCCCAGTCAGATGTCCAGGAATAGGAATAGTGAATCATTAAAAATTCATCATTCGACCTATTTCAGACAATAAACATTATCGAGGCTAATTAGCTTGCTGTTGTCTTCATGAAATATGACTTTGAATCGCGAAAGATAACTCTTTTAAACTGAGGTATTATCCATATTTACCTTCTTTACAAATATAAGGGAATAATTATGTCTAGGTTTTGTTACGAATGTTTTCGAGAATGCATATTGAGTAAAATTCCAAGGTACCATTGCAGTAGGTACAAAGCATTATTATGAGAAGAACAGAGAAAACTGCTCTCGTAATCTCCCTTGGGGTGAATTATTTGACTTACAAATTCATACCAAGAAAAAGCCTTTCAATCCTTTGCTCTCGGTCTTCCGCATTCTGCAGTTGCAATATGAACTCACAAGTGCTGTTTAGATACAGAACATATCAGTGTTTGTATATAATTTGTCATAAATATTACAAACCACCATGTTTATACCAAATGTATGAATGTGGTATATTGAATAAATTTTTGAACTAATGATAGTACAGATTGTTCATTTTAAAAACGCTGTGCTGCAAATGTATTTGGTCGGTTTAATCAAATAGTCAAGCAGTGGATCTATTTTTCAACGGAAAACGTATGAGCAGAATGTTCTGATTGTGGACTTACATTATGATATCTTCATACCAACAGAAAATTATATCAGTCGATTCCTCCGTTCGATAACTGGAAAGAGTCCTTACAAGCTCATGGAAACCTAATATCTCAAGTTGATAACAATGAATCTCTATGAAAAAGCCAAATTGATGATCTTTAAAGCCATAACCAATATTTGTATTGATAACCTGTGAACACCATATTTATAGTTATAGCACTGACGTCTGCTCATACATTACGAACTAAATGATTATCCGAAATTTCTGGCAGATGGTTGACATAAACGTAATTTTTAAATACCTCTCGTCAGTATGCACTGTTTTTGTGGAACAAGTTTATCCGTGTATTCAGCGTTATAGACCACAAGTTGTTAAGCTCATCATAAATAAAATACTACTCAATTATTTAAATTCTTATGCATTCAGCCTCAGGGAAAGTTTCATACTTTCATGGTACTGAAATTGCCGAGGGTATACCGGGATCAAGAGGATCAAACATTACGGCTTTCCAAACATCCTCGAACTTTTTATTCCAGAAAAGATCAAATAAATAATCTACAATGATTATATGGAACAGTGTGATGTGAAGCCTTAGAATAATGATTTAATTCGATAATAATACATTTACCTTTGCTTCTGTAGTAATAGACCTAGTCTCAAATTGCAGTTTTGTCGTGATGTGACCAGCAGATCCATAAGAACATAGTCTACGCTGTCTCGCCCTACGTAACAATCAGCAATATGACGTCCAGCATTTCTGAAGGACATATTTGGGATCTCCAAGTACACAGTTTCCAATTTTGGAAGAGTGTTTCACTTCACAATCAAAAATGTACAATTCCGATCAATGAAAGCAACACAATCAAAAAGAAAAGCTGATCAATATGTTATTTATTATCGTCACCGATTAACAGAATTATATGCAACCCAATGATTGAATATAGTCATTATCAGTGTGGTCAGCTACGGTTCATAATTGATGATAAAAAGTTGAATCTTCGGACAATCGCCTTCCGAGTTTCAATACCGGTTGTTCATCTATCATGCATGACATCTATTCCTTAATATGGCCAATCTATAAATCTCACACTCCTTTATCTTTAAAAACAGTCAAGTATATGAATCCAACTGACCATTACTACAGTCTAACTAGTTCGTCTTGGGAATACTTAACAGGAGAGGAACAAACAACACAAAATCGACGTTTAATAGACCTTTTCGTTAGCCGGAGCACATTAACAAACGTGGTAAGCTTTGTCTATACTGCTAGAAATGTCGTGTCATCGACTACTTAGATCCTGAAAAGTTAAGGTGTAATATTTATTCATTGGCTCGTCCGCTCACATGTTTGTTATATCATGGATTACGATCCTCAACTACATGGTACTTTCGTTTTATTAGTCCGCTGATAATCAGATTAGATCATAAAAATTTATTGATGTAAGTTAAAAGTTTAGGTCATCAAGGTAGATGATCCATGTAGAATGATCGGGGGCCTACTCGGGTTAGACGGGAATGGTGCGACCAAAAGCCGACGTCGAAGGCGTCTCGCGGACAGTACCTAACGTGGATTATCTCTTTATTGTATCAAGGTACTGTGTATGGTTTAAAGACTGTACAACACAGAGGATGTGATTACGAAAATATATCATTTAGAGTAAGTACAGGCAAAAGCGTGACGACCACTGCAAGAACCAGTCCACGCCGTAGGATTAATTGATGCGTGCTGGTCGCCCCTGACATTGAGGGGAATCGACAATAATCTGTAAATATCATAATACAAACGACAAACTCTATGGTCCACAAAATTATTACTGTTATTAGTGATAAATAATTTTAACTTGAGATGACAACGCACCACAATGTTTTCGAAAAGTTTGTTTAGTTTTAATGCTTCAAAAAAGTTGACAGTACTAGCACAACAACTAGCTCATATTTAAATTCACCTCTGTGTTTCAGGTTGCTTTCCCCTAGTTTTGATCTCAGGGTCGCTTCAATCTGTGCCTTGTGCTAATATTGATTATTTTGCTTACTTTCTATATTAAATATATGTGCGTTATGGGCCTTTGCTGGGTTTTCAACCGGTTTTTTTCTAAATATTTGACTTTTTGTTACGTTCTCCGCTCTTCCGCTTCTCTTCATGCTCTCCTAGTACACATAGTATTTTATTGCCAGGCGAAAACTACTACATTCGATTGCAGCAATACAACAGAGATGGTATTTTGTTTAGTGATTATTAATAGTTGATTGGTTTGATAGTCGTATTTATTTATTTACATGAAGCTAGTCGAACGTTCACAAGTTTAAAAAAATTTCTGATTTCATTGAAAGATTCAATAGAACCGGCTACGTTTCTTTGGACCTAGATGCAAGTGACCAGGATAATAATGCTGCATTACCGCAAGGCTTTTTAGCGGGAGAAATGAACTGTAACATACAAATGTTGTATTAATCAGAAAATACTAATGCAACTGTAGAAAAAATTCTAGGAGTCGTTTACACTGTGCGTTTCATCCGGTATTTCCTCACAAAACTCTAGTTTGTTATTAGAAATTGTTATTTGGCATTGAAGTGTTTATAAAATTTCAGAATTGATCCTGATTGTGTTGTTTGTTATGAGATTATGTCTTTGTATAGATTTTATCCGTGGTTAATAAAGTTAAAACTGTTACCTTATCATACAACAGTTCCACAGATCGTTTAATTAACAACAGGCATATTATATAACTTTCACCAGTACCTCAAAACTGTCATCAAGGAAAATTACTCAGCTTTTCGTTTTTTTTAGAACAGTAACAATTAAAATTCGTTGTTTATTACCCCATAATCTATTGCACCCTAGTGTTCGGATTTAATGTGGAAATGTTTGCAAGCAACTGATGAGGAAACACGAGATAAAATAAATTGATATTGTCCTGCTTTAATTTTTGTTTCAACTCTACTCCAATATACTGTCATTGAAAATCCTGAAGGATATTAAGTGGGCTCACACTCGAGAAACAGAACTTATGAAATCAACGGTGTGTATTGCTTCGAAAAATTAGATTTTCCGATCATCTCTAAGGGATATGCTAGAGGTCAGTTTAGAAGAAAAATCTTGACGATTCACCTAAAAATTATTAATACTAATATGTGGGGCATTATATCTCTTTTATGAACCATATCATTTGCAAATTTATATTAGTTCCTTAATTTATGGTTGATTGTGTTCTAGATAAATATCCTGAAGGCTTGAAACACGGAAGTCAACGTTATGCAATGAGGGTCATAAAAGGAATATGTTGGTTGGCACGATAGAGATAAAACTTGCGGATTCACCTCGTAGCTCTTAATACATAGTCGATGATCAAGAGCCTGAAAGGTAATCCTCGTAAAACCAGGCTCCCATAATGGAATAGTGGCCATTGATTATACTGAATCAATTCATTAGAACAAGCCGGAAGAATATATATATATATATATATATATATATATATACAAGCTATGAATAGTCTTTTCACATAGTGATATGAAGCTAACCTCTAAAGAAGATATATAACCAGACTTTAACGAAAGCAATATTTGAAATCTGGGTGATGTGTGGACGCGAATAATAATGATTGGTTGTTTGCTTATTTAGACTAGTAGATAGTCTGACAGTCACTAGATGAGTTATATATTCTCTTACACTTTTCATTACTATGATTGCGTCGGATTGTTGTCGGTTTATGGTGCGGAAATATGTTTAAGTTCTAGTCAGGTTAGTCACGTGTTCTTGATACTAGTTGTTTTGAAGTCCTGTGGAGTGGACACTGAGAGGGAATCTAGTGTAGATATTCGTCTGAGGCAAATTAACGTCACATTTAAATTTGACAATACACTGTAATCATCCGAGCCGGTAAATGAATCTGAATGATTTGTGACACACTAAATTTAGTGCACCAATTGTTTTTAAGCTGATTTACGATTATGCTTTATTTAATTTTGTTTCAGGTCATAAAGTGAGGAATAATTAACTGGTACCTTGTTATCCCACCTCTTTACGTTTGGTGTTTTGAAACACTCGTTTAAAGTTGAGTATCTGTTGAATCATTTCTTTCTCATCCCTGTTGAATTATTACTCCTTCAAAACAAAGACACAAGTGAAGAAAAAGATTCGTTAATTCTATTTCCTGCTGTGTCTATTATTGAAAGCTGTTAAGGACAACGCTGAGTGAAGGAAACAGAAGTGTGAAATTGGTAAAAATAAGGTAGAAAAGACCTTTAATTAAAAAAAATTACTGATTGAATAATTAGTTGCTTCAACATTTGCAGCTAACTGAACTTTCATCAAGCTAGAACTTATTCGGATCTTATCCGGAGATTTATTCCAACGCCAATTCAAGCCATTTGATCAAGCTGGACACTACACTCAGACGATGATTAATGATCACTTATTTTATTATTCAAAGGTTTCTTTGACGTATACAGATATGCCCAAAGTCAAAGGTTTTAGATTGTACAATGTACTTTCTCATCCTTGTGTTTTGGTATTCTTCCATTGTAAGTTTTTACAGAGTTAGTAATCAATCTAGTCTTTATTTTGACTATTTGTGATGACGGGAATGTCATTTCATATAGCACAAATATGAATCAACAGAATATTTTAATTCCAATTTCAATAAAGACTTCAGACGTAGTTCGGGTAAGATGGTTACAAACATATTATGTTTTCAGAGTACAGCTACTTGTTCCTTTCTTAAAACACCTACCGCCTCTGATACGAATGGTTTGTTCTCAGAAATGTTGTTATCAGATTCTAATCCAAGTGGAACCATCACTTTCCGATGCTCTCAAGCTGGCCATGCAATTCTTTTCTTCTGTCATGATAAATCCAATTCGAGTATTTCGTTCTCAACTAAAAGGTAGTTTAGATACTCACATTTTACTTGTATAACAGTTTGATCCAGTGTAGAAAACCTCCTGTTGTATCTGTTGGTCCAAAGACAATTCGTCTCCTAAAGAAACCAACTCCTTTTAATCAGCGACTGATTGTTCTAACCAGGTAAACGTGATTCAATTGTCTTATGTACACATAGTGAGATTGTTTCAGAAAGCAACATTATCGTGACATGTCTGAAGAAAGGTGAATCAGGTAACTAGTCATTTGTCTTTAAAATGTTTTATTATTATCATATTACTAAGGTTCAAACTTTTTGCTGCAGCGGTATCTAATCCCATTGTACCCTAATCATTAGTAAACCTATATAGTAATTACCATGAACGAACAGGAATCCTTTCATCATCTCTTTCGTGGTTCATTTTTCCTTTAGTCGAAATAATTTTTCTTTAACATTGAATCCCTACTAATTATTTTTAAGTGGAATAAAAAGATAATTGCAGCGGAATTCTGTCTGGATGCCACCCACCATTTCAGCTAATCAGGTTCATACTTCTGAATTCAATAATTAAGATTGAAGGTGCCCCTAAATCCCAAGTGCCATTTGGCATGAAACGAACGTCAAGCAGGATATCCTGCTGACTAATCTCAATTATCGAACAGGCTTTATAATAAGGATTTACATCTTTTAAACACTTTGAAACGGTTTTCAGCAAATAATTGTTATTTTCCCATATATTTAACAGATATATCAGTTTTGATAAACCCTATCACTGTATATTCTGGAACGTCAAATGGAGTTGTAAGTTTTTGAGATCATAAGTGATCGGACATTACTTTTTCAGGTGTCTGTTGCTATTCAGTCAATTTCCGATGCTCAATCGTTTACTATTTCATGTAGAGCACAATCAATTAATGGTAGTCAGTATATGTCGGCAACATCTGAGGGTTAGTACAAAATTTATGATTCTATCATACTGTCTATTAACATTAAAGGAAGCAGTTCATCGATCTCATTAATTAATGGAGAGATTATCCTTACACCTAATGATGTGAATTTGTATAGTCTACAGTTTCAGGTTCGTTTATTGTATTTTCTCTAAGTTATTATTATTAATATTCTCCATAGTACAACGCGAAAAAATATTTTGTCGGTTGTATCCTAAAATGCTATCCTATTCTGTTTTTTTTTAATTGCTTCGTTTTAACATTTTGTGAGAACGAAATGACTTATGAATTTCTAAATCCGGATTTATACTTGACCTTCATAACCTATCTTTGAAAAGACCGACAATGAATATCCTAGTTGTTGAATCCTTTGGGCTAAACCAAATTTGTACCATTAGATTAACCTGCTATACGAAATGAACTTGAATTGAACCGAATGAACGTAGTACAATGACCACTAAATTACAGTTCTATTATATTTGAAAGTGAGGTAGTGAAATCTGTGTAAGAATTCTACCCTAAATGACTGCATCAAATCTCAAAACTTGGAAATTGAAGGACTAGATTTGTCTGTTGTGTGAAACAAAATGAGAAGAAAAACGGATTTATATACCTCTAATTGTGAAGTTTCCAGGCTTTAATAAAGCTGTCAAAGTATCAATGGAAAAGGAACATGCTTTCATCAAACGAAACGCATAAAAGTAAATTCGCAACCCCGTAAAAATTTGTTTGCATCACCAGCTGATTTTATTTGGACAACCATTTCAAAATAGGAAATACTGGACAGCTGTTCTATCTTAGCATGGGACTCATCAGCAATTCGTATTCACAAACCGTTCAAATTAAACTAAGTTTCGGATAATAGGTCACAAAATAAATCTGAACAAAGAAAAATCAACCAAATGAGATGTTGAGATGGTTCAATAAAACCAAACTATTAGTAAGGAGTTTTGTGGAGATTTTAGTATTTTAGACATTTGAATTCACCACCAGGTATCCAATGATGGTCTAGCTTAGATCAACTCGTGAATTTAACTGTTAAAACCAAACTATTTACTATTAATAAGTAGCATATCTAGCACACAAAATAAATAATGAGGCAATAGTAAACAGTTCTAATAGGAAATTGTTGTTCCCGATACAGCTAAACCCGTCATGAAGGTGTAATCTGATTTATATTGGAGGTTTAATCAATAAGAGGGTGATATTAGTTTAATGCACATATTTTTTCCAATACGCAAGAGACAACACTACATTTATATTTGTTTGGCATTACTTCGGTTAGTGTAGCTAGATATTACTAACCCTAATAACTCAAGTGCAAGTAAAAGACAAGTCTATAAATACGTACTTAACTAATTATTTACATTAAACTAAATCTCCATAAATTATTTCCAAAGATTGTGGATACAATCCACCATTTAATACTAACAAGTGTAGTTTCAAGGAACATAGCTGAAAATTTACCACCGACATAACATAGATTAGGAAGTTATGTAATCTATTGTATTCTTTTAAGAATTGCACATTTGCGTTGCAATAAAGTTTAGTTATCATGCATCATAGAACCAGCGTATTTTTTATAATCCACACACGTTAGTGCATAGCTTGCATTCAAACAAACATGTATACTTTAAATGTTTAAATTATTTCTTTTTATTTAAACCAATGAGAGTTTTACATGAAATGTATTAACACTATTCGAGTTACATTGATACTGTTATATATTGGGACAATAAACGTTTTAAAGCCAAAGTAGAAGTTCCATCAATAATTCCCGTTTAATTTAGAAACCTTAAAACATTTATATTATTATTTTACAGGTTTTATTGTTTCTGAATGGATTAAATCAAGATTTAGGAGTCCTTTGTAGCGTTAGTGTGGCTAACAATGAAACACAAGCCAATAATTTACTCAGTGATAATACATGTGGAACAGCATCAACTAATGGTAATATATTTTAGTCTCTTTTAAATTATTTTCAACGACTTCCTTATATGGGTATTAGTAGTTTCACTTTATCTTGAAACTCAATTTCTCTTTATTCAACACTGTACTTAATTGTGTCAATGCATAACCGCTATAGTCACAATTTAAGATATATTCTCTCCACTACTGTTTCTCAGTACTTGAGTAATACGGTCTAACTATAACTGTAAGATGAAGTGTGAAGTTTATTACGTAAAAATGTCTTTCTAAATATAAAAAAACTGCCCATTAAATTTCGGAGGTCACATTACAGCGGACACAAACGTCCAAAACGGGGACATAAAACGCTGAATCATCAGACTAGATTAAACTTCAAACTTAAGGGAACAGGAACGTGAATTATTTTCGTATTTTTTCCTAAATTTGAGTCAGATTAATAATTGCCCAAATTTTGATATCTCATAACTAATCATTTCCTAACTGAAACTTAAAGAAAATTGAAGGAAGTCAAGGAGAAAATTATCAAGGATTCATTTCATCTTAATCCAAACTGATCATTAGTGCTCACCCTCAAACTCATACATAATCGACTTTGGAACTATTGATGTTACACGAAATAATTTTGCACTTATCCGTTGTGTATCCAGTTTTCTGTTTTTCTATGTTCAGACAATATAGAAATTGAATATTTTAGATCCAGTAAACATATATCGTTTGTACAGACTGATTTTTTATCGCCGCTTTTTGATAACTCACTTAAATGTTAAAAAAGTCCAATTACTTCAAGTTGGATTCTTTAGAATTCTACTGAAATTTTATTCTTGATACAGTAGGTCACCAAAATGATGGCTAATGTGAACAAGTACTCATCCATTACATTCAACAATTATCGTTCTTTAATTGTATTTGACTATATACTACTAATAAAATATTCACAGCTAATATGAAATCTGGATATTCTACATTCCATACCATGTGGATCTGCAAAAGCTGAATATTTATGTGTTTTAATCTAGATCAACGTTATATATCTCATATAATTTAACCTATTCACTATGAGTTTCTATTTGACTTGCTTTCATAATGTTAAATATTATAAACCAGTGAATTTAATGTTAAAATATCTAAATGTTACCTTTATTTTTTTTTATTTTTCATGTTAAGTTGCAACTTCAAACAACTGGTCTATAACACCTTCTTTAAACGAATTTAAGGTAGGTTAGTTTGTTCATTTATTGATGAAAAAAAGCTGACAGAATTCGTGTTTAAACATTAAAAAATTAAAAACACGAAGTTCATCGAAAGGATCTCTTTTCAACGAATTTCTTATCAAACTGTACAATCGTATATATATATATATATATATATATATATATATGAAACTTCTTTGTTAAAGTACTAATTCCATGAGGAAATATGAACATGAAATAACCCAGATAACGTAATAAAAAAGGTTATAACACTGCTGAGGAGTCCCATACCAGGACGAAACGGCCGTCCAGTGCTTCCAGGTTTTCAATGGTGGTCTAGCTTCAACTGACCCATGATTTCAACCTGTGAAATGTTTTTGTTATAATAATTAAAGGTTATAGAGGTGTAAGAAATAGATAAGGTGATATGATGAGTATTTATGAATAAAATAATAGGAGCAAAGTACATTGGCCGTAGCCAACGCTTGCTTTCAACTTGGATACGTGAACATATCCCAGTTTGGTTGTACAAGGGTGAAAGGAAAGCAGTTAGGAGTTCTATACTCGAACATCTAATCGACTGTAATTATTTGCTTAACCACTAGGCCACTGAGTTGGCATTCAACGGTGTTAATATCTAACTTCAATTAATCCACGAAATTGAACGACATATACACCATTGTCTTCAGTGAGTTACTATCTCACAACTGATCCGGTTGAACTTCTTTTAAATTGACTAACAATTTGTTTATTGCCACGAATGTAACTTAATCATCTTTTCATTGAAATTCAAATATTCTTTTAGATAACAATCAGTATTAACCAGACAAATAAGCTATCTTTCTAAATAAGTACCCTTGAAAAACTGCTAAAAAGTACAGCATTCTACTTCTATAAGTCATTTTAAAGGAAAGAAAGCATTTTATTTTATGATATATATTTATAGGCATCATCAATATCAAGTCGTACAGATTCACTTACACGTTTACTTACGGTGAAACGTAACTCATATCCAACAAATGAATATGATAATACAATGGAAATATTAATTTTAAAATGTTGCAGTACTACAAAAAATGCTACAATGGATCCAGCATTTGCTAATATTGTAACCACAAGTCGAATTAATGTTCTACTTAAATCTCGTTTAATTATTAATAAAGGTGAAGAATTACCAACAGGTTAGTTAATCATTGTCTAAGATTTAAGATTTTATAAGTTAATTATATAGTTAGATTGTGTGTATTTCTCTGAATTGTGGTGTGGCATATCTAACAAGTAAAAATCTATGTACTTGCCTCACTCGAGTCACCTTTTATGCTGAAAGGTTGGTGATAGTACTGTGCTGCCTAAAATGAATTAGAGGTAGCGAAACCCGGGAAATTGTACATGAACACCTGACAGCGTTAATTCATATGAGCTTTCTTCTCAAAATGATGTCTATAATCTGTCTTTCGGATGCGTTTTTTAATAAGTATAAGATACGTCAACGGAATAATTTCTTCACGATTCTGAATTTTCATAATTTGATTTACTATTAAATTCGTTCTGATATGAATTAACATTTTGTTCTAACTTTTTTCCATAGATCAAACATTTCCTTATCCTGATCCTGTATGGACGCAAATTTCTCCTTGTCCCTGTGACCTAACCATAAATACATGTGACCTTGGATGTCCATGCGATAGCGTAAGTGTATCTGAACAAGAAAGCACTTTTAAAAAATCACATAACTGATTAGGTATTTGTGTCACCCTGATTCTGTAAATCCTTTTACCAAAATCAGTTAATTCGGAAAGAGTTTTGAGCATACCTTGTACGAGATCATCATCGCTTTCCGAGATTCCACTTCCATAATCACGTATTTTTAACCAAAAATAACTATAAAAATGAAGCAAAGCATTGCATATTTCTGCCATAGATAATAATCAAACTGATGATAGACATAGATAGGTCGTCACTACGTCTCGTTAAACTGAACTATATTATCTTACTCCACTTATGAATATGATGTATGAATACAATCTTGAAGTTTCATTAAAGTTCAAACCTACGTAAAAGTCAGTGCAGTTATTTTGTGTCTCAGTTTGATTTAGAACAAAAATCATTAATCTGGATTGATTTAACTGTGGATTTTAATCGTGTTGAAGAGTTCCTATTCTTTCGAAGAGAGGCTTCTTTAGTTATATATCTACAATTATGTATAAATTACTATGTGATTACTATCAAGATATTTGATCTCTTCCAAGTAATAACATGAATGTAATATAAACTTTCATACATTATTTATTATTAATTAGTGTTCGATTAAATTCAAATGTTCAGTTTAGTTAAACAAAGTCTTTCATTACGCCATATGGATAAGAAAATCTAAACTATCCTATCCTTAAGTTGATTAAATAATGGTATGTATTCTTATCATAGATTTCCACAATATCAAATAAATAACTTCGTCTTACTATTCATTGAATATGAACTCAAAAATAATGATCATACTGTAGTGGACACGAACACCAGTGGAGAACAATCGAACGTATTAAACACAAAAATGCAGGAATTGTTAATAAAATCTAACAATCATAAAGTAAATGCTTAATTTGCAAAATGTCCATCAGTTGTCTCAAAATGACTCAGACTTTATTGTTCTTGCATTTTCATACAAACTGCATTCTGTTCCTCTTGTCTCTCTGCTGCCAGACCTTCTGTTCACGAGTAACGTCATATACTACTTATGTCAATATAAGTAGCACACACCAAAATACTATCTCAGTACTTTTAATTAGTAGTATGACAAAGAGAAGTTCTATAAATTATTTGGATTGTTGAATATATTTCCATTCAACTTGATGCAATTTATGCAGTCAAGCGATGAATACTCATAAAAGTTTATTCAGTTGAATGATTTATAAACTTAAGAATTCTTAGTTTTGCAAAACTTTGTAGTGTAATATTTCTTGTTTCTTATCAGATGTGTCCTGTCAATCAGTCTACAGTCATATCATCAAGTTTTTTTGGCGGTTATTTCAATCTTCCAAATTATCATAGCTGTGATGCAATGTTAGATCGAATTGAAAATGAAGAAAATAAAATTGATTTAATTAATCGAGGTTTCACAAGATTACCAGATTATCATCCACTTCTATGTGTTGCTGTTGATAATAGTGCAGTTCTTGGAAAATTTCACAGTTCACTTTCACCTGCTCGTAGTCTTAATGACTTTAGTAAGAATACTAAAAGTGCTAAAACTGAATATCCATTAGATCAAATTAATGATTTAGGTATTCGAGAAGTTATAGTTGATCAAAACAATCAAAAACAACGTTTATATACAAATGGTGATCCATTACTTTTAATGATACAGCCGGTAATTTTAACAACTTCAGATGATCCATCTATTCTCGTTAGTCAATATAATGAGTATTTTGTTTTACCTAGTGAAATGAACTGTGATTTTGAATCAAATATTCCCGTAGAATATCTTTCTGATCGAATTACTTATAGATGTCCTATTGTTTTGTCAGTCATGCAATGTCAAGACGCAATCAATATAAAAAACAATATAGGGATTGGTGAGTCTTATTTTGTAATTATTACTAACAACGAGTCTTAATTTACATAAAAGTAAAGCACATGCATATGCATATTGCTTTTCTACTATTTTTATTAACTTCTTCTCCCTGAACCTTTATTTCAAACTTAATCATTAGGATTTCGTGATGGCCAAGGAGAACATCAGTCAGTCAGTCAGTCAGCTACAACGTAGGACCAGGCACATATACTCATCGATCCAAGTTGCTATACCTCATTATCACAACAACATGGACAAATTCATATAAGTAGTTACTTTAACGGTAGTAATATATAAATAATGATTGTATATGAGGATATGATACAGGAAGAAAGAATTAGGTCGTAGAAAGAAAGATAAAAAACAGTTTTAATCCCACAGTTTAAGGGAACATAAAGAGTGTATACACCTACGCCGTTGTGATCGATTCTGAACCATGTCATCCAGAGTCTCCAACCATTGGTCACAATAATTATGCGGATTCCAACCAAGTAGTCTGCATCTGCCGACATGGCTCAGATCAGAAGTTAGTGACTTGAAGGACTGATGCCATAATATTAATTAACGACATTAAACAGATCTGCTTAGTTGTTATCAACATGTCTTTTAAAAAAATAATTCTAAATTTCTTTCACTCTTAACTTATGTTTATTTATATTTCAAAATATTATATACTGATGCAAAACACAATGTATATATTCCTTAGTTCTTCAAGTGAACAGTTTCTACTAGATGATTATCAACCAGAAATATATAATAAAAAAGATGTAATTCCCACTATTCTGTCTACTCAGTTAAATTTATATTAAATCATAGAATTTTGCATAAAATCAATAATCTAACTGATCTCTTCATCATACTAAATGAGTGTTGATCTCGTCTGAATGCATACTTCATGACTGTTTATTGCATGTAAACCCATTTGAAATAAACTGTCTAATGATGAATCACCATGTGAATAGCTCACTTGCAACAACATTGTTTTCGACTCTGAGTAAAATAGGTTTGAACCCAAATATGAAATCAGTTTTCACAATATTACAGGTATGTTTTGCCAACGAGTTCTAACAATAGACCATGGTCTGCAGCTTCCCACTGCTTGTCTTCAACCGTTGGTCATTAAATAAAGTTTATTGAATTATAGAGTCATTATCTTTAGCCCGTATATTTCATCTTAATCAAGAGAATCGAAAATGCTCTAAAGAATAAATAACAGGACATTGATTACTACTGAATCTCAAATAGTAGTAACAGTCTATATTTAGTCAGAATTAAAGAAACAGTTAAATGAATCTATCATTTATTAAACAGGCAGAATAAACTTACTCTTACCAACTGAACTCAATCTGTTGCAGTATCATTAGTTCGAGGAGTTGGAGGAGATTGTTGAATTTCATTGTTATTTCAAGGACTAACCTTAGATAAACAGTCATCGATGACCATGAAGCACTGAACATCCGTTTAGTCTTATTATGAAGATCTTCAGCAGTGCATATCCATACCCTCATAGAAACTGAATTAAAGAACTTCGAATTTCGGGTTTAAAGTTCGACTCTTAGAATTTTAAGTTATCATCCAATAGTTTGCTCTTATAAGTTTCATCATTTCGCGTTACTGCTTAACCATCATCCAATGTGATTGTTAGTTGGAAGAATACCATCCTAGGACAAAACAGCTATTCAGCGCCTCCTGGTTTCCAATAATTGCTGAATTAAGTTCACTATCTGATGGAAGCTATGAAAAAAGCAGTTGAAGTAAAACAATTTTAAGTAAATATATGTTGGACCTTTGTATATTTAAAATCCAATTTTTCGTATATATATATATTTTATAACATAATTAGGCTGGGGACCGAGAACACTATTGGACCGTTTATTTGCACGTGCTTATTTAATTGATAATTTAGCAATATCAAGAAATTCTGAATCAATATTTCGTTTACGCATGAATCGTTTACGAGATGATACACCAGTCCCAGTAAAGGTGGATTATTTTTGTTTAAAGCAAAATGAATTACAGAACTTTACAATGTCTTCTCAGGTATGTGATAATCCAGTTTTTTTATTAGTTATCATTGATTAGGTATTATTTTTGTGTCATAAACTGAAATATTTATGTATGGGATTTTTTAAATTTTAATGATAAGTATTATTAGGGATTTTCAATCTTCCGTTGTTCACATTCAAGATTACAACTGACCAATGTCTCTTGCTATATGTACTTCCTGAGGATACCTCCTCGATACAAGTTTTAATATGTTTTGTGTGTGGCTAGCAATTCATTCTAGGTCATACATTTTGTTCTACTTAAAGTTCATCAGGCGAATATACCTACCTTAACTCCAATCTTGAATATCAATGAAACAATTCAAACTCTTACTAATTTATGATGCACACATACCCGTCAATAAACTTAGTGTCTATCTCAAATCAATAGCTCAAAAGATAATGCATTATACATTTAAACTGACAATTACTAGTGAAGAGACTGAAAAAGTTCATTTTAGTTCTGATCGTCTGTGATAAATTACGAATTGACTGAGAATTTATGAAGATTCCCGTAATAGTTTCATGAATCGGTCACTAGTGATACAACATCTAGTATGATGGGTTCAAATTTAATTGCGCGAAATTACTTCATGACGACTTTTAAACACCATTTATAGGCAAATTCTTGTTAAATCCATAGTACGTATTAAATTTCCTAATATCTAGTATGTTTTAAAGTATTCGTTTAAAATTACAACGTCGTTTAATATCCGACAAACTCAAGTGTTTTCTACCTTTTCTTGCTATATTTCAATGTTCATTTAGTCAAATGTTAATGTAGATCAAATAAATCAAACCGGTTTTTTCAATCATAACTGTACATATAATGCAACGTCTAAATCGACTTCATGTATCCCATTACAAAATTCAGTGAAGTCAAATTACCTAGTCCCAACTACCTGTCCTTGGCATAATGCTTTCGATCTTCCACCTGACATTGATTTATCGAATAATATATGCAACAATGTCGTAATGAAAGTGGATTATAAGTGAGTTTTTCCTCTTTCTTATATGAAATATTTCCTAGATAAGCTTTTGTCCTCAGATAAAAACGTACAAGGATAGTAAAATGTAAATAATTATCGGTATAGGTTCTTGTAGAGATTATAGAATTTCCATAGTTTTCAATCACGAACTGATCCTAGTTAGACCACCATTAAAAAGCATAAGGCACTGCACCACTGTTTCGTCCTAGTATGAGACACCACACAAGTTCACTCCAACTACTTTGACCAGGGTACCGGATACATGACCTTCGGTTTCGCGCGCGAACGATAGACCTCTAGACCATTGAGTATATAAATGTCAATATTGTCATAAGATGTAACACGTGTCAGGCTACCATCTACCGAAATTCACAGTGCTGGCTCCCACAGAAATAAGACAAGAAATAATCATCATAATCAAGTGAATATTCTAATCGTGTCACTAATCTATCTAATATGGTGTATGCCTACTACCTTACTAGGTATCCTCAAACCATGACTCTTTACTTTGATTAGTGTTGGTTCACAACTTAAATGTCGCTTGTCGCTTAACCGAAATATTTTTAACTCATTGGTTCCGCCACAAGAGTGCTATGTGATGAAGATGTTAATGGTAAAATATTTATTGCTTATTCATGTATTCATGCATATGCATCAAACAGGTGTTATACGCGTACAGTGGTACTGATGGGACTATTGTGTTAAAGACTCTTAGTTGACTTTTAGATATCTGAACGATGCTATTGATGAAGTAGGTTGGTGAATGTAAAACCAGTTTTTTATATCAGTCTCAGGATTTCATTTGGTCCCATCAGGTATGCACTTATCCGATAACTCGGTGAACGGCAAACAACCAATAGGCAAATTTCAATTTGAGTTTGTAATTTACCTACTTCTGCAGAACTTTTGTTATTGAGCTCCGCAAAGGTGTGGAGTCAGTATGAACTTTTCAATTTTCAAGTCATTTTAGCTAAGTTTTCCATGTTTATAAAAATGGATTTTCTCTTCTCATAAATTAGAATGAGCAGTTATCAATGTGGATTTCCATAGATATGTCGATATCCATTTCTATATGATTTAGTCTATTTACATGTGTGCAAAATTTACTTGGTAATATGAGTACATTTATACACTTGGACCTTTAGCTCATATATGATAGCATATGATAAAAATTGAACCATAAACCCACTCGAATTCCATTCACCAGATCCTAGAGTGATACTACAAGCAAATGTTGTATTTTCTGACTTTTTAGAATTCATATAAAACTGTTCTATCAAGCAATATAAAGGTTTGCTATGGATACATTCAATAGTTGTGTCATTTGCCATAATCCACAATATCCACTAGTACCGGTCACCAAATACCAAGATATCTTTAAAATGGATCGTACCAACTAATGATAAGAGACAAGTTAAACCAAAATCTTGTTATTTCATTTGTAGTAGTCATAACTTACCATAAAAAATCTCATCACAGTTACTCCCAGATTAATGAAATATTTAATATAGGATCTTGATAGTAAACGTATAAAATTATCATTTTCTGTTAAATAAACACTTAAGGAAAGTTTTTGATTGAGGTTATGAACCGATTGATGTTAGACCACCGTTGAAAACCTGGAAGCACTGGACGGCCGTATCGTCCCATTGTGGGACTCCTCAGGAGTGCGCATTCACAACCCCACTCGTGGGATTCGAACCCAGGGCCCTCAGTCCCACGCACGGACGCCTAACCTACTGGAACACTGAGCTGACATCCAATGGTGCTGAAGAGTCTCAAAATGGGACGAAACGGTCGTCCAGTGCTTCCAGGTTTTCAACGGTGGTCTAACATCAGTCAGTTCATGATCTTAATCAAAAAATTAATAATCTCCAAAACCCTTTTACTGATAACTTAAGAAAACTGTCAGACTACAAATCATTCGAATTAAATCAAGCTTTCAAACACCTATCTATCAGTAGTATTTTGATATTTTAAATAAATTTTTGCTCACTAGATGGTGGAACTTCACAACTGTCACCTTTAAATGAAAAGCGATAAAGTTTTATTATTATTAATATTTGAAATTGGATTCTGTCAAAAGTTAATATCATTCGAAGAACTTCCCTAGATGAAATACTTCTCTTCAGCATATTTCCTTGAGTTGGTTTTTCTTTGAAAATCATAGAAGAACAATTTGAATGAAAGCTATAATTTTCTCTTTTTTTCTCTTAATTAGAGTAGAAGGCTTTTTTGTTTACCTAGAAAATTACATGCTTTAAACAAGATTATTTGGTAATTTTCTTAATGGCTTTTCTTTATAATAGATTTGTATGGTCCGATGGAAGTATACAAGAAGCATTAGCTCAAGTATATATGGCCAACTTACCTGTAACTAGCACTGAAATAACATATTATCAGGAATATTCTGTCAAATTTATTCATACTACTGAAGTAGACAATGAAATTGACACAAAGCTACCGTCACACCTTTATGGTAAATTGAAAATATTGATAGAACGCATCTGAAATCTAAAAGAATTTGTCTTGTTTTTTATTAAGTATTTTGATGGGTTATCTCATTTTAGAAAATTCAGTTAAATTAAACTTCGGCATAATCCATCTATTATTCACATTTTGACATGAAACCTAAAGCTTCTAAATCTGTAATTAACCAAAAGAACAGATTTTCGAGATGAATAGTACTTTCGTTTTCGGACTATCAAAAATAACATCAATAAAAGTAATTTAATGATTATCAAAATAATGAATGATTTCAATCAGTCAGTTGCGTGCTGAAACCTCGTAAGTCTTTTCTCGCGACTGCATTGACGTGATGGAACCGGCTACTGTTCTCAACCATCGAGCTGTCATGTTTCAACTTGACTAATCTTTGGCATTCGTTAGTTACTTTCTGTGACGCAATGCTGGGACAATATTCAAGTTTGTTTAGGATTCTTGTTCAGATATTAGCATCCTCGGGTGAATGCAGACTACAGACAAATACGAGGTATTTAAAATGGTCTTCTGTCATGGAAGACAACTTGAAACTTTCACATTCTCAGTTCATAATTCCTGGATGTTTCACCCAGTCATCTTCAAACATTGGTAACGGATATTAAAAAGCAATGGCTTTTCTCCAAAAGATTTGAGACAGGGTTTTAATTGTTTCATCAAAACTCAAGTCCCTTGGGTTCCTTGGAAGAATAAAGTTACTATAACCTTCATGTTTTGTCTTTTCAAGTTTTATTAGAAGTATTCTGAATTCTGAAGCGTCATCCAGTTTGGAGAGACCAATATGGAACAGATCTTCATATTTCTTGAACTATGAGTCAAAAGTAACGCCTACTAAACCATCAAAGTTAAATTCATGGGTTGTTTAATGACTGAGTCGGTGTGCTACTTGTAGTTCACCAGAAGTGGGGATTTGTCAGGACAGGCACACTTTCTGCATAAGGGCTCCCATGATTCTTATTTGAGACACTTCAAACCGTTTCTCTTGACACTCTATATAGGCTTCTAGTTGTTCAAAAGAAATGTTCATTGTAGTTCTCTCCGTCACCACTGATAATTCTTCTAACTGAGCTCTTGAATCGATTTCTTAAACTCTTCTAATAATCCAAGGGTAAATCTATACGACAACTTTAAACAAAAGAATAATTCGAAAATGAAAATCTTCTGAATGTTCAACTACAAGAATATATTTCATTCGATTCTCATCAGAATGACTTAACATTTCTTTCAAATTTTCTATTTGAAATCATCGTCATTTCATGATAGATTTTCTGTTTCACAAAATCATTTCATATTCTTAGCTGAATATGCTTTATTCTCAAGCTTTATAAGTCTGAGTTATATCTTGTGTAGTTCAACTTATGTGTGGTGAACTATATTACTCACACCAACTATATAAATGCATCGAAATTTTGAATTAGTATATAGAGTCACCTACACATAACATTCCATTTGTCTTTCAAATAATTATTATGAACTGTTACATTTCATTCTATGTAATTCTATAAATGATAATATTATTAGGCCAGATTTTAGACCTAGTTCTTGAACCTCTCTGTTAAATAAACAGTTAAACTTCATCAATCGTTGAAACATCATACAAACTTCAATCATTACCGTTGTCATATATCTAAACATTACAATTAAACCAAGGCGGACTGCTTGAATATCTGGGTTACCTATCCCTGCCATCTGGATATTTCAACAAGTCATCTGTTTTCTTGTTTATTTTAACACATCATTATAACTATTAATCGCATAAGTTATTCAAGTGCGTTTGTAAAAACTCTACGACATTTCGCTGTATATGTTACAAAAGAGCTCAATCCGAGACAACGTGGTTGCTGGTAATATGCATCGAAAAGAATATGCATTATTCAGATGTCGATTCATCAACTGCTAATATCTAACTAGTAACTACTCAATATTTATCGTGAGGGTCGATCAAGAAATAAGAAAAGGAAACTTGTTGAAATAATTTGTGCTGAGAATTGCTTATTGAACCAAAAATATAGTATTGAATAAAGCTAATAATAATAATAATAATGACGATGAAGAGAAAATGTACCTATGGCATTATATTGGACTTCGAAGTAAATCTGAGATCAGATACAGTACATTATAATTTTGCATCAAGTTACAAATTGGATATTAGAATTAAATCAGAACTAACGACAAAATAACATACCATTTGTTTAAGTAATATCATACTTACATATCGATATTTATACTTTTATGAATCTTTTTTAACAATTCCTATCATTTTTTACATAAGCTAATGAAATGTGTACATCTAATCTCATTCTGATGAGAATGAATCTGTGAAATAAAATAAGCAGCTTTATACTGTAATGACCGAAGACTCAAGTAGGGAATACTAGTCTATTATTCAATGCATAATTTCAGAGTTATTTGGTAAAATGTGAAAAACCATACATTAAATATTTTATTTGCAAATTTTCCATCAATTATTACATCGTTTCTATACTACTATTACAATTAATCTCTGTTTACATCCCCGTTCTCTTCAATTCGATCTTCTCAACCTTCTACTGTCAAACATTTCATTTCTGATTGTTGTTACATACTACTTATGTCTATCGACATAAATAACCTACACAACAATATAATAAGTCAGTTATTTAGAAAAAAAATGTGGATTCTAAAATTCTGACATTTAACCACTTTCATATTCTGTAAATAGTTGTCATGATAGTATGCTCTGCTGATGACCTTCAGCAAGTTTGGAATTTCATGCAAAAATTCAACAGTTATTCGTCAGCTGAATTCTGATTGGTTTATCTGTAAAATATATTTTAACCACTGTTGACAACGTAGTTTTATTCATCAAAAGTGAATTTTTATTACTTTTGTTTACTTTCTATGTAAATCATTCTTATCAAGGTTATGAGTTGGATGATTTAATTGTAACTGGTCAAGTTACATCATCTTCTATTCAACGTTTCCTAGTTCAAACGGACGATGAAACTAATATCAAATCAGGTGTTATAAGAACTGGTAAGAAATAAGATTTTCATAAACTTTGTCATTATTAATGTGGTTCTTTCCTCCAAAGAGAGTTCGTTTTTAGTGTAGCACTTCAATTATTGTTCTTTTTTCTGGATATCAACTTATAAGGGAATTTAATAAGACTTTTATTCAGTTATTTGTTTTAAACTGGGAAATGAAACAACCTATTAATACAGCTTGACATGATAAAATTAACCTTAACGGTTAATAAATATCACATCAAGAACTAATAAATATAGAAAGTATAGAATAGTTTCGTTCTTTTTGTTCAAGACCCCTTAATCATGTCAGTCATTCTGTAACAAGTTTATGATCTCAAGACTACGAGTCAGACACTTGTTTATTCAGTTTGGGATACAAAATTACCTGAAAATAAATAACTTTTATAATTATTGGTATTCAGGACTGACTTGGATTAGTCTTTCTTAGTAGTACAAACTTCTTGAAATAATACCTCGATATTACTTAAATTTACACATCGATCAACAGTTAACGTCATTCCCGTGCTTAGCTTTTGCCCCACTACAGTCTAATGGGTGACATTTTACAATTTTAATCTATGAATATTGGGCTCAAGTGCAGATGGGGAGTTTAACGATGAAATTTAGGTACATCCAATTGATGAGTCTTAACTGTGACGAAATACGTGTTCCCTAGAAATCGGTTAATGAACGCCTGGTTTTGTAATTTTATTATGGAAATTTGAATTTCTTATTTTTACTCCAAAAGCCCTTATTTTTCTCTTAATTTTTTAATCGCCACCTGAAAGGACCTTAAATGTCATTGATTCGTTTCCTCTTTTATTACGCTACTTTGTGATGTATTTCAAGGATATTTATGTACTGTATCTTTACGCATGAGTTTTGGGCTTGTTCGATTGTGCTCCCGGCTGTTTGTACAATATATATTTTTCCGGCTGAATCTGATCTCCCTCCAGCTATCAGGGCTGGGGCGCAGTGGAATAACTTAGCTTGTCCTGTTGTTTTGTTGCTGACTTTCGTTCCATTCGCCGGTGATATCGTAATCTCTTTAAACGTAGCATGACCAAAGTTCACAATACATATTTCTGTAAAATAATGTTTCTATCTCGATTCAGATAAAAAATCTTACTGTACTTTATTTCCTTATTTCATTACTTTGTGTTTCAATTCTGTTTCTAATTAAACTAAGAATTTTATTTTAATTAACCATCGATCCAAAATTTCGATACTTTTTCATATACACCCTTTAACTGTTTTCTCGAGCCCAAATTTCAATCCTTAGTTTCTTTTTCATTGTCGATGCAACACTATTCTGATCTCTTTTACTATATCTTGTTGATTTCATCTTGCTGTAAAAATCCAGCATGGTGACTGTAGCCAAAATAAATATCTCCCAGACTATACTCTGTTGCTGGGTGACCGAAAGAAATATCGGTAGTTTATAGCAAACTTTATATGTAATGATCACTAACTTCATTTCCCTTGGTTAATTACGTGACCGGTTATGTTAAGCTCTAAACTTGTTTGTCATTATGTAAATCGATTATTTTAAAAATTTCTTTTGGCTATCCCCAGTTGTAATCTTGACTATCGGTAAATGGTTGTTATTGCCTTTCGGAGAATTACATTCCTATAAAATAATATATGTTAAAGAATTTTGAGGATTCCAAGTGGGGGCTTGCCTTGTGATGCAGCTGAGTGCTTTCTTCAAAATGTGTCCTATCCACTTCCAGTGCTTCTTCCTGATTTCTTCCTCCATTGAAATCTGGTTTATTCTCTCCAACAGTAGGTTGTTGCTGATAGTGACTGGCCAACGGATACTATGATAGTATGAAACTAATGAAAATATGTGCTATTCTGATCAAACGATCAAATGTTCGCTTTCATTTCATATTGGAATACTCTTAAATTAAAGAAAGTATTATTTGTTTAATTTCAGGCCCAGATATGTTATGTGAAAATTCAGAAATCGATCAGCTTAAGTTTGGTAAAACTGTGATTACTTCCTGTCGTGTTCTTTTGGGTCTTAACGATTTTACAAATTGCGATAAACTAAGGTAAGAAATAGATTTTGGTTAATTTATTAAATTTAGTTGCACTACACTAAATGCCGATTTCCACTTAGTTTGTGACAACATACAAGCTATCTGTTACTTTGTATTTCCTTTCGCATAAAAATTTATGAGGTGTTATCTTAGTTCTGATTGGTTCACTTTAGGTCGTTAGTATAGTATACTTTCATCGACTTCGCTTAAAACAGGACCTGCTTATCCGTAGTTGTTTAAACGTGTCACCTTGAGCAAAAACCGTTTTCGGTTAAAATGAAACTCCCAAAGAAACAAGGTTGAGTTATATACTTACATATATTTCGATAAAACATTTAAAGGATAGACTTGATCTGGAAAATATTATTTATTTACTCCATACATTTCGAACAATCTGATCTCTCAAATAGAGGTTTGAATGAACAAAGGCGAGAGAATAATTGACATTGTATAGAAAGAATGGGAAATTTTCGCCTTACCCTGGGCCATAAAATGAATTAACGATTACCAGGGCGAATTCAAGGTTACGACTAATGATTTTTGTACACATAAAGGGGGGGGAGTAAGTTTACGAGTAGCCATAGCTTCCGAAAACCTGAAAATTCGTCCTTTAAGATTTCGATACAACGTTTCAAAAGCTGTCAATTCCGGGCCCCGTTTCAATTATGTGCTTAGCTATCGATGAACATGATCTTCCACTTCCCATGTTGATTGGAACATTTGACATTAACTGATTTTGAAGCCATCTAAGGTTATGGATCATGTGCCTCGACAGATTTATCCTCTTAAGGTTGTTTATTAGTTGAATAATGAAATTGGAAGTGCTATACAGAAGTGAAAAAACAATCTATTTTGGATAATTAAATGTTCTCATTGTTAAAATTAGAATAACACATGTAAGCCAACAATTGTTTTCAATTAGATCGTCATCAGGCTTTACTCTAATATACATGAATATTTATACGAAAATGCTAAACCAATCAAGGCAATTTGGGTCAATAATCACAATGAAATAGAATAAGTCACCACACATAATAGGTAAAAGTACAAGTTGATAGTAGGAAGACAGGTGTACTGATAGTAGTAAGAATAATAAAATACGATAACAAAAGTCGGTGAGACTATAATTTATGGAGGACCATTAAGCGACGCTAAACTGAACTCGAGAGTTCTCATCTAATAACTAGGACGAAATGAAGGCTATAAACCCGTGTGAGGAATTAGAATTATGATTTACAGTTGATGGTTAGGGTTAAAAAAAAATTAGATTTAGGGTTTTCATCACGAACTAACATCAGTTATAATGCCGAAACTCTATTTAACCAAATGGATGAGTGAATTTCGCACCAAAATCCATGAATTGTTATCTTATATCTGATTGGTCCGTCCATAAATTTTAGTCTATCACAAAAGTCTTGTCAATAGTTAAACATTGGAAATAGAAGATCAAACGTGGGTAAATAGACTTAAAATAATCATCACAAAACATTAAAACGATTAAGTAATAAGAAGTGTATAAATAGTTAGATAGCGAAGAATACAAACGGCAAGAGGGGGAAAATTACAAACAAATAATGGATGTGAAAATAAGGTTAATGATAACAAAAATAAATAAACATTAAATGGTTTGAATAATTTCTTCTGGTTAGCGTTTTTTATCGAGTTAGTTTTCTACGAGATGGGGTCGCTAACCCTATGCCCAACCCTCCTCCTTTATCCGAGCTTGGGACCGGCAGTGGCCCCAGAGGGGTTACAGGCGGAGTTAACTTTAAGAAAATATTACACTCTAGAATTCCCATTAAATATTATCTTATTATCTATAATAGATTATTATTATTATTACTATTACTATTATTATTATTATTATTTAATTATACCGAAAGTTGGATTGTGTATGTTTTTTTTCTTTTTTTGAAAAAATTATTTATAGAAGTCTTATTATTGCACGATTAAATCAATTTATACCAAGTGAAGTAATTGCAACCTACCCACAAGCATCTAAAACTTCACCAGAGGATTGGATTTTTATACACAGGTTAATATTATATTTCATTAGATATATTATCATTTTCATTGTTTTTATAATCACCAGTAACTACATACTCATAAAATGTGTTTAGTCTTTATTCACGTAATTTATTCGCCAGTCAAAATACGACTTACCCTTTTACTGTACTAAGCCAATGACGTTCGTTCAGTCTGACCAACCTAGCGTTCTATTGGTCCGTTGCTCGCCTAGCCCATCCAGTTGAGTCCAGAATGCCAATAACAGCCTCCACTATGTCAATCATTTATTTCAGACACACTAGGTTTATATATCAACCAAACAGATCGCAACGCATCATAAATTAGGAAATAACATTGATACACAATAAAGCTAAAATGTGGCTGTGTACGTGGGAGACAGTAGTTAATAAACTGAGTATAACATAAGAATGGTAAATCGTACAATAATAATCTATCGGTCGAAATGAAGCTTATAATATGCGAAATATAGACATACACAATCTAATTACTGAATAGCTATACCATAAGTATATATAGATAATAGTGGTCCATTAATACGTCTCAGAATTTACTCGTAATTTAATCTTCACTTGGATATAACAAAATGTGTCGTGTGTTATGTGTTAAATTATGAAAATAAACTATAACTTATTTGATTTTCTTGTTTAAATCACTAAGCAGCTTTAATTCGATAATCATTTAAATTTAGGAAGCAGTAAACTTATTTCCTGATGGTATAAGACACATTTGCAGTTTGTAGTGTAAATTTTAAATTTTAATAGTTTCCATAAATATTTTGCTGTAATAATAATCATGTCATCACTAGTGATCAGTTTTAAGAAATGGTTTTCGATGGATGAATCTGTGACTAGCTTAGTTCAACTTTATTGAGTACCAGACAGTTACTGAACAATGTCAGTGAAGAAGTAGTTTTACAACAACACAAATTGATCAGAGTTATAAATGTATATCATTAAATGATAATTCAATGATCTAGATATTAAGTGTACTTTGCAAGACATGATTGTTCTGATTGTAATACTCGGTGAGGTTATAAGTAGAGTTAGGTGAGAAGTCTCAGACTTAGACGAAACAGCTGTTCACTTCTTTGTGATTTTCAATGCTTGTTCAACTAAGATCAGTTCATGATATGAATTATGAAATTGAACAATTTACACTAAACTTCTATTTTTCAAGTTGATACTTTTAAGAAAGTTGTTCAAATTAAAAAGTTTATACCGTAGTGCAACTTTCATAAAACAACTGAAATTGGAATAAATATATGGAGCTGTTACTTTTTGAATTTCAATGATAGTCTAGTTAAAATCAGTCAGCGACGTAAACTGTCATTTATGTTTTTTTTACCAAATCACTAATTTATACATAAGAGGGTGATTAAGGATGAATATATGTATTATTATGTAGCGAAGATTCCGATAGAGTTAATGAAGTAATAAAATTTTGTTACGAATAAACAAAGTTTGGCAGGGAAAGTTCCAGAACATTGAAATAGTGATTGGAACTAGTGGAGTTAATAAACATTAGATGATTGTATTATGAAGTAACTGAAAATAGTTGGTAATAAAGAAAGATATGAATTGGAATCAGTCGGTTATGAATGATGTAATTTTAAACTTCAGAAGGAGTTGGAACAATGAATGACTTAATAAATAAATAAATAAATTACTAATTATATGAATTGAACTTGTAACATTAGTGTTATAACTGTGACTGAAGATTAGATGGCAGAGAATGATCGATCGGACCAAAGAGGCGTAAAACACGTGAGAACAACCTAGAGTCCTGATTAGTCCTGCTTTCCGCCTAGCCCAGCCAGTTAAATCCACAACGCAAGTCTCAGCCTCTGAGATATGAATCATTATATTTCAATCATACTGAGTTTATATACCAAAATCAAACGGACCACAACGTACCAATAAAATATTAAACAACATTTGTACAAGAATTAGCCAGATGTGGCTGTGAATGAGGGAGGTATTATTCAATATACTGGGTATAACTCAAGAATGGTAAGACGTATAATAATGGTTCATAGGTCAAAATAAAGCTTATAGTAAGAGGAACATGAATATAAATAGTTTAGTTGTTTAATAATTATACGAAAGAAATATACGTTTAGTATTTGTCCATAAAGCATCCCAAAGTTACCATTCATTATGTTTTTCGGGTCCCAACAATTAGCTATCGGGTAAATTATCATGTAAAATAAACAAATGAACTTAATGTGTTTTTGTTTATAAGAAACAGTATTAATTTTGCACTAATTGGTCATTTAATAATAAGCAATATCGTATTGCTAGTTCATTTCTACTGGTTGAATTAGAATAATTTGACATTAATTGTATACACTACTTTCACCGTTAGTAAATTGAACGTAGTAGTCAGCAAATTCTGAATTTAAGTTTTACATTGATTACCACTTGTCAATAAGATATATCTATCCTCCTAAATAAATTAATATTTTTCATATGCGATCAAACCCTTGCTACTCAGTGACACAGACACGGTTGTTATTGCTAACCTATCAGGTCTCTTGTAAGCACAAAGTGTCTATATTAATAGATCACTTGCTAAAAACTAATGTTATAATGACCAATTTATAAAACTAGTGAATTTCCTTCAATCTCTATCGATTAATTAATATCAAAGAGGAACTATAGGTAGTATTAAGGGTTTGTGAAGATTGATGGGTTTGCTAGTTTATAGTACAGACTGATCTTAGTTAAACAACTATTGAGAAACAGGAAAAACTAAACAGCCATTACCTCTCTAGTACGAGAATTCTCAACAGTTTACATTCGCCACCTTACCTGAAATTAAATCCAGGACTTTCAGGTTCCCTAACTAATGCTTAACCATTCGAACATTGCGTCAGCGTCCAACGAGAAAATTTGAGCTTAAATCAATTTATAATATGGAACGTTTATCATTCGATGCCATTGTAGACAACCGTTTCACTCCCGACATATTTAAAGGAACATTATTTAATTTATGAAAGTAATTAGTGTTCAACAGTTTTAAAATTCAGCATATCCTTTCGTTTGAATTTCTGGTTCACAGTGGCTTATTTATTATTAGAATATGTAAGTATTAGTAACCAACTTATATCCAAGGTAATAAAAACTGCTGAAACAGTTAACATTAAGTATAAAGAAGATAAAAAATAATCAATTTAATATTACTCACTGACCTTTAACTAAATATAGAGACTAGCCTTTAATTAATCAGTAGAAAGCAAACAAAAAAATGATGGCTACATAGAGTTATGATTATATAACTTGCACATTATGTTGGCTAGAGGCTAGAGGCGGCCAAACCAAAACATGGCACAAGTCCATGAAGTCACTGACAAATGGACTGAGTCATGTTGGTAGGTGTAGACTACCTGGTTGGGGACCACGAGATGATAGCAACCGATGGTTAGAGACCTTGAATGACAGCTCAAAATCGTTTGCAATGGCGCAGGTGCATCCACTCTTTGTGTTCTCCCAAATTCTAATCTCCTGATTCCTCCTTGTCTCTTTTTTCTCTTCTTAAATTTATTTCACTGGATTATACTCTTTAAATAACATCTCCAAACCCTAATCTTCCCGATTACTGCTTATACTCTTGCTACCTCTACGACTATGGGATTTGAATCGACAACTGCATCTCTGTGCTAATGTGGTATGGCGACTCGAACTAATGTACGTACGTACGAAGTTCTGCGTTGTTACTGACTGACTGACATTTTGTTCAAACTTTTCTTGTTCAATTTTCAGAAATGATCCTGTTTTACAATTATCAACTGGAAACGATAATACATCTTCTCTCATTTCATCAATTGGCTTCTGTCCAAATATAACATCTACTATGTATTTAAAAATAATCTCTGCAATTCAAGGCAAATTACAAGGTATACCTTTAAGACAAATTATATCTGCATCAATTGAGTAAGTTTTATTTATTAAACTTAATAACTTACAAAGTAACTGATTATTAAGTGTAATCAATAAATTTGATGACATTTTTAATTCCAAAGAATTTTAATGTTTATAACTTATGGAAATCGTCATCAAAAAGACCATTTTTTTCTGAAAGCATCGTAGTGAACGAGATACACAATTGAAGACAATCGAATATATAGTTGAACATAGCATTACAGCACATTTTAGTAAAATCTGTGAACTATACAGTAAATACTTCATTTGCAAAGTATCAATCATTTTGATGGTTCATCAAGAACCAATCAACGTCGAGGTGTACAGGACAAGCTGTGAACCATATATGGAGAAATTTGAACACTTCACTTCTATCTGAAGTTTGTGCTGATGATGTCGTTCAGAAGAACCATGAAAGCTCCACGACCAAAGCATCCAGCTCAGAAAAAAAACTCGATCAAAATCATCCACCTGAGCTACAAATCTTCTCTACCATCTCAAAATATCAATCAATTGTTTCAAACTTGACTGTTCCTCTTGCAAACATCAGTCAATCGTCTTAGACTTTATTGTTCCTGAATTTTTATACCGATTGTTTTCTGTTCTCATTCTTACCTTCTCGACCTTCTTCTGCCAGACATTCTAATCCTGACTATCTTTATATTCTACTCATTTCGATATAAGTAGCACACACCACAATATCACCGTGTATTATGTGTTGGTAAACTGTTAAAAAGTGTGGTTTATCATATAGTTATTTCAACAGTTAAAAAAATCATTCATTGGAATAATCTACATGAAGTGTATAAGTTTATAGTTTCTAATGATGTTTATCAATTCTAATGCTTTCACATTTGAAATTTAGATAAATAACAGTTTCTTCAGTTTTCGATACACTCTAATGGATAATGTTTTATGATGATAATGATGATGATGATTGCCAATAAAAGAGACAATATCTGTGCTATCTATTCATCAAATGTTTGTTTTATAATCTATTTAATTCTAATTCTAATTTCGAAAATAGTTGTCAAATGTATCGACAAATATCTGTGTCCCCTCCTCTCCCTTTCCCTTTCCCCAAAAAATAAACGAATAATTCTATTTTTGATTTGATGATTTGAACATATAAATACTAGTACAAGGGGCACTAGATACATATGCGCCACATGAATCTCATTTGATTCGTGTGAGGGTTGTGATACTGCTCGGGTGCCCATAGTGAAGCAGGATTCTATATGTAAACTCTAATCTAAAATGGAATATAAACGAACATTTTACGTTTCTTTTTTTCTTTTCAATTACCATGGTGTATTATTTGTTGTTATTCAATAAATACAGTGCTTGTTTTTTGGTAATAGAAGTTAATCAGCATTAAATTTATTTGTATTTAAAATATCTCATTAATGAATTCTAAATTAACTTAAATTTCTAAAAGATAACTGTCACATATAAGTTGATGATGAGCAACAGTCATATGTATGAAACTGAATTACATTTATGCACTTGCCAACGAATAAAATATATTACAGTATAATGTTGTTTAGCGTATTGGAGATATTGAAGTTTAAAATTCATCTCTCATAAAACTTTATTAAAGGTTATCAGATTATCCCTGCGAACTTTGTAAATAACGAATTCATGCACATAATGAATAGTTTCATATCATTACCGTAATGATTTTTGATTTAAACTATAAGACACTAACAAAAATATCTACTCAAAATTAGTTTTTATCACAGAATGATATTAGTTGAAGAATTATGGAAAATTAAAGAGAATTGGATAACTTCATAGTATAGATTTGACAATGTTTAGTAACGCTCATTTCCTAGTTCCAGGTAGGTATAATATCTTTAAATCAGTTAAATGGAATTCGATTATAGAATTGTTGAACTTCAGACAATGACTTCTTACAAAATATTTTGCAGATTCATCTTGAAGGTAGTCACTAGTAGTGATATACTGTTATGCAGTGCCCCCAAATGCCCTTGTACGGCCGAGAGCGGGGAGAGTCAGCTCTAACTCCCGAAATGCTCTCACATGCCCATGCATATATAGCCTCTGTCAGGGAAGTCCTACTCACTACCTTCTCGTGGTGGGGGCGTTGTTTACGGAATTGAGAGGACAAAAAGTGAATGTCAGGCGCTTTAATCGGGTTGGTGGACACAGTGAGTCCATTTAGGGGAGTTGGAAAACCCTGAATCCAAACCAATAGTGTACATGGGCTCCAGTACCCTTAAAGAACAATTGACGTATGAACCAATCGTTGGTCACTGGCTACCACGGGACTGCATCTCCTTACGACGCTCTACTGCCTTGTGGATTGGACCTTTAGGTTGAAGGTTCCGGCTGTGGCCCCCTAAGAAAACCACCTGCTTTGGTTTGGGCACCCGGGCAATATCACAGCCCTCACACAAATCTCATTTGATTTGTGTGGCGCATATCTATTTGGTGCCCCCTTGTACCAGTATTTATGTGTTCAAATAAATAAATAACTGTCATACAGTACATGATAAAGACTATTGTCTTGAAATTCAACAAACTTTACAAAAACGTTTTTTAGATATTCACAAGAAGATTGGCAATTAATATGTGACTATACAATATATCCATCATTCTGTAGAAATTCAACTACCTTAAATGATGTACAATATTTTTATCTTCATATAATTGTTATACATTCTGATATATCAGATAAAGAAGAACAATTAATGATAAATGAACAATTAAATTGTGATTTAGATAATTGTTGGAATCATGCATTCTATGCTTGGACAGGATTAATTAAATTCTATCAATTAACTGGTAAATATGAGCAAACATTTGAAATTGGAGTAACATTAGGTATATCAAGTTTGATTATCATTATTTTATTTATAACTAAACCTTTCTTTTGAAAAGAATATGTAAATATCCTTTTTACATATTGTCTTCCATTTAATGTATGATGTTAATTCTAGACTGTATCTTTGTAGTTTTATTATGTGATTACATTAGATTACATGGTTATATATGTGTATGCTTTATAAAAAACTGAACTTACGATAACAAAAGTATAACTTTCTTGTCATATTTTGATACTTTTCAGTATTTAAAGGGGGAGAATTTTTCGATTTACTGAATGAGGTTTGTAAATGTTAGAATTAATCATTACAATGTTGATGAATAAATAAATTTAATTATATAATCAGTTCGAGTGATAGTTGAATCAAACTTCTTTAATGAACTGTTAGCGGGACATAGATTGAATGCTCAATGCACGATTGCATTGCTGCACGCTGATTGACTAATTCTTATCCAATCAGCGCTAGTCGATACTTGGAGAATACTCTAGAATCTTCTCATGTAAAAACTATAAATATACTAACGTTTTCCTTACTTACTTGCTTCTTACTTCCATCTTACCTTGTTATTTGGAGTACAATCTCTTTCCTTTTCAACCGTGTTCTGATTTGGGGACTTGTCAAGTGAATCGGTGTCCGAGAATACTAAGTAATAGCAATAGCTGGGTCATAACCGTAAGAAAGAGATTATAACATGAACCGATATCAAAAGCACGGATACTAGCCGTAAGAATAGATCTTTCAGCTTATATACAGATCTGTTACAGGAAGAATGATATGATTAGGTGTCGTGAACAATTAGAGAATATCACCTTTATAGGTCATTTGATCCTTAAAGATTTTAATGTTAAACTCGATTCTTTGACACCCTATTGTAGTTAACAAGAATGCCAGTGGGGTAAATCGAACATATTAGAACACGAAATTACAGAATATTTCACTAAAATCTGAGAACTATACAGTAAATACTTAATTTTCTAAATATCAATCCATTGTCTCAAACTTGACCGTTTCTTTTGCAAATATCAGTACATCGTCTCAGATTTGATTGTTTCTGCATTTTCGTACCAATTACTTTCCGTTCTTGTTCCTTCCTCTTCGATCTTCAACTGAAATACATTCTATACCTGACTACTGTTATATACTACTTATGTGTGTATAAGTAGCGTACACCACACTATCACTTGTTTTCTTCAGTTTTTCCTGCAGTTTAAAGAGTTCATTTTTATATGTTTAGTATGACATCGCTCATGGAAATTGTGACATACATAGATATAGATCGTTTAGTAAACAATGGATAAACCCGATTATCAGCGTATACATCATATTGAAATCTATAAACCCAGATTTTAATGTTTATTGACTGGACTTCAAGTTTGGATGGGCAACACTTTTAATAACTCTATAAATATGGCGATACTAAAATTTATGGACGGACCAGTCAGGTTCACGTTAACGGATCCTGAATTTTGGGGCGAAAATAATCAATTAATTTGACTAAATAGAGTTTTGGTATTATAGCTGATGTCAGATCGTGATGAAAACCTTATATCTAATTCCTAACCCTAACTATCAACTGTAAATATCAATCCTAATTCTTCACATCGGTTTATAACCCTAATTTATTCGTAGTATATAGGTGGTCATTCTCAAGGTCTTTTTAGCGTCGCTCAATGATCATCCATAAACTATAGTCTTACCGTAAAAATATATTATAAGAAAGTAATGAATTACAGTGGATATTTTTCTTTTATATGATTTAAAAACTTGTCAAGGTTTGATAAAGGTTCAGAGGTTCTGAATTCATAATGCATACGGTATAGAAACTCGTGCATAGTGTTAGGCTTTAAGGTTAGGGTGACGAGACTCTAATATAGGGACGAGACAATCAGAAGCGTTTGAGCAATTTCAGGGTCACGAAGCCAAATTCAACACGTGATGCTAACATAACATCGGTTTACAGCGGATTTTAGAGAAGAGGTGATTACTGAGCGGCTACAACCCTAACCCCTAACCCTATGGACGAGTTTCTATACCGTATGCATTATGAATTCAGAACCTCTGAACCTTTATCAAACCTTGACAAGTTTTTAAATCATATAAAAGAAGAATATCCACTGTAATTCATTACTTTCTTATAATATATTTTTACTTTATACTAACTGTCTTCTGATTGGCTAATAATTGAAATTGCTCAAACGCTTCTGATTGGCTCGTCCCTAAATTAGAGTCGCCGAAAATTCACTACATGAAGATATTTCAATGATCCGCTCAATTTTATCTCTTGAAATAATAATTAATTTTCAGGTTTTAATAAATATAAATCCTTTTTAGTAGTCAAACTCTTAATGTTCTCCCCTAAGGTTTTATTTGGTGGATGAAATAAATCGTAGGAAGTGCATTCTAATGATAATTTCATTTTTCAAAGTTAGATGGTTGTGTATTTTCTTGTCGTCTCGTTATTGATGATGAAATCATTGAAAAAAAATCAAGCAATAAGGTTTGGTTTCGGAAATAGTGTTCGAAATGTTGAGATCTACAAGAACGATAACACCAAGTCTATATAGTCTGCTAAAAATACATAAAAGTGGCTTGTCCCTTCTACCCGTTTTAGATATGTGTAATCCAGTCAATCATACTTAAGCAGACTGGCTATTTCGAATTCTCAATCCGCTGCACAAAGAAATCGTTAGGCATAGCGTCTAGGATTCCTTTGAATTTCTTCATAATATAAAAAATCTGTCGATCAAAAATAACTTCATGATATCATTAGATGCATCGTCGTTATTCACACTAACATTCTCATAACTGAAACTCAGGAACTAACAAAGAGGTACATAGAAATCTAAATTCCCGCATCTGCAATTAGACTGCTAATTCTAAGTTGCATGATGAATGCCTACTTCCGAGTTGAGAATGAATACTATTGACAATTGGATGTACAGCCATGGAGTCACCTTTGGGCCATCTGTTGGCAGACATTTTTCTTGTAAATCTAGAAAATGGACCACTTAAGGACACTATCTGTTATCTAATATCGCACTGTCTCTGTATAGATAATATTTTCATGGTATTAAAAAAAGAACACGTAACCTGCTTGATATGAATGTAACCCCAACGAAATTCATCAGCAAACACATGAATGAGACAAAAAGAAGACCAGATGTATCTATTTTTCCTTCTTGTTTGAGCAAACGATAGGTAAGAGTGATTAAGAGTTCTATTTTCCTTCACTTAGTGGACACATGTCATCAAATTGACTTGAATAAAGCTTTTCAGGTTATCCACCATATTCCATCAAATTTACCTCATGGTTAACGCCCTCAACTTTCTGGCATTGCTGAGGCCATTAGAATCCATGTTCATAAACCAAACCTTTGCATCCAAAAAACGTTTTTACAACCACTCTCGCTACCTTGGCGATCAGTATAGGATTGAGTCTGTAGCTGAACTTTGATGCAACCCTCTGGTGTTTGAACGAACTAATGATACCTTGGTACTTGTGGATTGCTTGATTTCAAATTCCAAATAAAATACATTCGTTTGTGCTTGTGTCTTACTTCTTAATTCAGTTGCGTTAATTCTGGACTCCTAGTTTATACGATAATCCAAATACGTGTGAATATTGTAAATCCTTTCCTTCAAAAATATGTAAACCATTTTTTTATTTCTTCCACGTTGTATTTTACATGCTCTCAACATCCATCACTTGATTATTACGTAAGTACTATAATACTAACCTTTTATCAAACTCTGCCTGGAGTCCCTCCGGGGGCTACTGCCGGTCCCAAGCCCGGATAAAGGAGGAGGGTTGGACATGGGGTTAGCGTCCCCATCACGTGGAAAACTAACTCGTTAAAAAAACGCTAATCAGAAAAAACTATTCAAACCTTTTAAACTCTGCCCTGGGAGTCAGAAGGTCTTCATTTAGAAGAATTATGACGCCTCATGATGAAAGCCGAATTTCTTCGGAAGTTACGAGGCCGATGCCCCTTCTGACAACCAGAGCGACCATTTATTTAGGTACATCGAATGTTCGTACAATTTGGGACACCGTGAGAGCCTTCCAAATTGCTGCAGAAATGAGAAGATACAACCTAGAGGTACTTGGGATCAGTGAAACACATTGGACACAAGTTGGACAACAACGACTAACTACAGGAGAGCTCCTGTTATACTCCGGCCATGAAGAAGAAAATGCATCACATACACAAGGAGTTGCATTGATGCTGTCCAAACAAGTGCAAAATGCGCTTATAGGATGGGAATCTCATGGACCAAGGATCATCAAAGCCTCGTTCAAAACAAAGAAAGAGGGGATTTCAATGAACATCATCCAATGCTATGCGCCTACCAACGACTACAATGAAGACGCTAAAGATCAATTCTACAATAGGCTGCAGTCAATCATCGAGAAGTGCCCAACAAAGGACCTGACAATTCTGATGGGAGATTTCAATGCCAAGGTTGGGACGGACAACATTGGATATGAAGACATCATGGGACGACACGGACTGGGAGAAAGAAACGAAAATGGTGAGGGATTTGCAAATCTATGTGCCTTCAATAAGCTGGTCATAAGCGGAACTGTATTCGCACATAAACACATACACAAAACCACATGGACTTCACCGGATCACACCACGCAAAACCAAATCGACCATATTGTAAGATCCATTTTGAATGTTTTGTGTGTTTGTGAAAATCCCTCCATGTACATACTTGCGCTTAATTCCTATTGATCCCTTTAGTTGTACATTGTTAGTTTTTGATTACATTTGAATTGTAAATATTTGTATTTTACTATGGTCTTTGTTTTTACTACACCTTCACTAATTCCCCATGTTTCTACCCGAACTGCACTTATGATGTTTTACTTGACACTTAGTCTTGGCGGCAGCCATTTTGGTTTGTTCCTGCTTTGATTGCTTGACCTGTGTTGACTGGAATTGTGCATTTTGGTTGTGAAGTGAAGCACTCTTCCAGAATTGAAAACACTGTGTTATAGAGCGACCAATTATTACCTTTTGAACGGATCTGTACGTGGTCTATCCAGACGGGATAGAATAGCCTTTATTTGTTGTGATTGGTAATTTTCTTGCATCCTTTATCAACTTTCTTATTTATTGTAATTTAGATTTGATCAATTGAACAATTATTGGTTGGATAGCTGAGTGGTTATATTTGTTTAGGTAATAATGTACACTTAAATTTATGATAAATTATAGAACCGCTATCTTACCCAATTACTTTGTTTTGGTTTCAATCGGGCGAGGGCGCGTATCTAACTCATCCAGACAGCTGTCCAGCAGTCCAGACGTAGTTTGGATCTTACACATATTTG